TTTACAAGCCTCCACTAGTGTATTCATCTTACAATAAGACAGACTTGGTCAGGAAAGACTTAAAACTAAAACTAGGAGATAAAAGAAGATAATACCTAACATTTTGTTAACAGACCCATTTTCAGGCCTACCTGAGGTTCTTCCAAGCTGATTTTTTTTTTTGTAAAAACTTACATTCCAATGGAATTCTTAGGAATCTAATACTGTATATTGAACATTCTCATCTTAAAGAATCTGTTCCTGTTTACAGCCTGTCATTTTATAAGACCCATATTTCTCCAACAGAACCTACGTAGGGGAAAATACATGGAGCTATAAATCAAATTCTGACCGATGCAATGTTACCTGTTTCCAAATCATTTGAATTAGCAGCTTCTCTCAATCTTTTTAAAGCTGTGGAAAAAGAGAGAGTTATTTCCTTCTCAGTTTAATTTTATAAAAAGCAAAACAAACACAAATACATCAGGTTTGGTTAAAGAAAGGTTTTGTGACTCTTTTACTATGCACAATCAACTCACCATGTTACGTGACGTCTCACCACGTATCACAACTTTTTTTGCATTGTCGGAGCTGGGGTGGGCGCGGCCTCTGTATGATGCAACTGGCCCATGGGCCGGCAGTTTGACACCCCTGATCCACAACTTCTCCTCAAGGGTGATCTTTTACTGGCAGAATGCAATGTTTTATGTGTTTTATATCTAGGGAACTGCGATAACTCTAGCTAGTGGACTCATAATTATTCAGGTGTCATGGCTTTCTGTGGGAATTTTTTTTACCTCTTAAAATTCATTTTAGAATTGCAAACAACAGCAAAACAGACCATCTCCTTCTCTTGGCAAAAGGGGTAGGTAATATTTTCCAAGTAGGGGATCATGGGCTAGTTGGTCAAGGGAGGCATTTTCAACAATGTTCCTGGATGGGGCAAAGCCAAATAATTTTGACTTCTCTTTTCTCATAATTTGAGGGCTTTGATATGATTTTGACTGAAAAGATCTTTCAAGAATTAATGACCCATTTGTATCTGGAAAGAGAGGAGAACCAGAGTACAAGGTTTTCCCAATTTGCTTCTCCTAAAAAATTTACTTTGAGAAGTGAGCAAACTTTATCCACATTTCTGCTACTATTTATCCAGAATACATAAAACAGAACAGAACAAAACAAACTTCACAGGCTTCAATATATTACAAATTTTCCTAGCAGTAAGTTGCAATTAATACTGTTATAACTGGATTGCTTTGATCAAATTTACTCATCACAAATCTGTTAATCCTTAACATATAACATAACACAAGCTACCCCATTTTATTCACAATTTAAACTACATGCATTCTTTTAATACAAAATCAGAATTCTGGTGACTTCAGATCTAACAGGCAAAATTATTTCAAATGTACATCACTGAGGCACGCTTGTAATACATTTTTCTCTCTCCCCCCCCCAATTTTAAGATCAACCACAACCCAGATCAGTGCCCTCCAGATGCATGAATGAGAATTCCCTTACACAGTCCAGTATTATTTATCTATAATATTTGTAGGCAATCCAATCAAACATGCTCTGGGTAGCACACAACAAAAGAAAAACAACACGGTTAAAAAGCCCTCATTAAAACAAATCATACCATCCATAATAGTACAATTAATCCTCGCAAGAGTTTTGGCTTGTTGAAATAAGCCAAAGCACCCTGCCAGGAGCAGTGTGTTCCAAAACATAGGAGCTATTATGAAAAGTTCTATCCTTCATCCTGGCAACAGGGAAGGTTGTTGGACAAGTATGAACGCCAACTGGAATAGATCAGGTTGGGGAAGGTTGCTTTGGATTATCACGGGAACAAGTATGTGTCCATGTCTAAGTGTGTTTTCTTGAATATTTAGTCCCTTATCCGTATTTACAGGTAGTCCTCAACTTACGACAACTGAGCCCAAAATTTAAGTTGTTAAGTGGGACATTTGTTAAGTGAACTTTGCCCCATTTTACGACCTTTCTTGCCACAGTTGTTAAGTGAATCACTGCAGTTGTTAAGTTAGTAACACGGTTGTTAAGTGAATTGACTTTGCTTGTCAGAAGGTTGCAAAAGCTAATCACGTGACCCTGGGACACTGAAACTGTGGTAGATATGAACCAAGTTACCAATCATCTGAATTTTGATCATGTGACCATGGGGATACTGCAATGGTCGTTGAGTGTGAAAAATGATCATAAGCCACTTTTTAAAATGCCCTTGTCCCTTTGAACAATAACTAAACCAGTGGTACGACCGGTTGGGTAGTCCTCGACTTACGACCGGTTTAGTCCTCAACTTATGACCGGTTGGGGTCGTGGCATTAAAAAGGTTGAGAACCACTGCACTAAACAAACTGTTATAAGTCGAGGACTATATGTATTTGACAACAACTCCATTCCAACCCGCTGCTTTTGCCTTCAGAATACAGTAAAGCATGGAAGAGCTCCAAATTCCTGACGAAGCCACAGACTGGAGCTCCCCAATACCCGCTCCGGCTGCTGCTCCTAGACCAGGGATAGGCAACCTTGGCTCTTTTTATGACTCGTGGACTTCAACTCCCAGAATTCCTGAGCCAGCATAACTCAGGAATCATAGCCAGCATAGCTCATACCCCTGTCCTAGACCAGTGTTTCTCAACCTTGACAATTTTAAGGCATGTGGACTTCAACTCCCAGAATTCCACAGCCAGCATTGCTGGCTGTGGAATTCTGGGAGTTGAAGTCCACATGCCTTAAAATTGTCAAGGTTGAGAAACACTGTCCTAGACAATTCAGCCAGGGGGTTCCTACCATCTCAGTCTCCGGTAAGGAGAGGGCGGCCGCCGGCCTTTCGGTCACGGGCTAAGAACAGAGCGCCCGCCCGCCCTCCCGCCTTAGCCCCACGGCCAGCCCCTCACCGTGAATCTCCTTGCCCAGGGGGCCCACCCTGCGGTGTAGCCGGGCGTCTCTGCGGCGGCGACTGACGATCTTGCACACGCGGTGTTCCGTCTGCCACGGCAGCTGCAAGTAGCCCAAAGCAGCCGGATCCGGAGTCTCGGGGATGGTCCGCAAGGCCACGCCAAGACTCGCCAGGGAAAACAAGTTCGCGGCATCGGCGGGGCTGGCTTGGCCGGGGCTACCGCCTTCCATCCCTCCGGCCCCCCCCCAAGCCTTCGCTTCAAGCGGGCCCAGAAACCCAAAGCTCGACTGACGGGAGGCGGGGAAATTCGCGTAACCATAGAAATGAAAGGAAGGGAACAAGGCAAGTCGCAGCCAATAGGAGTAGTCGGATGCCGTAAGCGACAGACTAAGAATGACGGGAAGGGCGTCTACTCCCCCCCCCGCCCGAAAAACTTTTCCCTTAAAGGTGAGAATCCGGTCTACAGCCAAGCACAGAGTAGATGCCTTTGGGCGCAAGACTGGAAAAGTTGAGGGCCACAGTCGGCGATTATTACTGGCTGAAGATGATGTCCAGTCCAACACATCCTTTGGGGAGGGGGTATAAGCATTATACACCAGAATAAAATGCTCTTTCAAATGCGCATCTTTGCATAAGCAAAACAGCACCCCTTACACATAAGAGGTATCTGAACGTGAAAAGGGAGAAGGGCAAGTGAACATCCCAAGCAGCAAAAAAGAATGGTGCTACTCCTTCAGGGGAAGGAAGCGAAAGCACAGCTTGCAAATGGGGGGGGGGGGAGCTTTAACTACCATACCATCCTGAACAAAAGTGCAGAATGCATACCAACATTTCATCAGAAACCCCATTTATACACAGGATATTATAGTACTTGAGCAACTCGGAGAAATGTAATAAAGTTATTCAATGCAGCAAAAATAGAAAGCATTTCAGAGGGGAAGATACTGTAATTACTTGACCCCCAAAATAAAACAGCAGCAAAGCACACTGTCAGGGCTACAAACTACACCAACCTATTTACCGAGGTTTAAACCTCAGTGTTGAGAGAATGTATTATTTCCAGACATTAGATTGTAATGTCTACCCCTTGTTCGAACTAAAATAAAAGTCTTAGATAGGTTCAAGGATATGTTGTTATAAATGTAGTATTAAGCATTGACAAGTAAATCCCACAGGACAGAAACTCAGTAGGTTTAACTTTTGGTGTCATGTTTTTTTTTCCTCTTTAGCTTTACTTATGTCTTTTTTTTTCCTATTGAAAGAGTACAGGAACATTCTCAGGAAACAAATATTCTGTAATCCTTTTGCTCCCCTTTGGAGGCTGAGAATTTTTATAAAAATAGCAGTACAGAAATATCTCAGCTGTGGCTAAATTTTTGTTTATACTTATTTTCACCATTCTTGCTTAGTAATTATGGATTCATTTGAGTTGCAATTGTGATTCAGAAATTTGTTTTATTATCTAATGCAGAGGTCTTCAAACTTGGCCCTTTTATGACTTGTGGACTTCAACTCCCAGAATTCCTCAACCAGGCATGCTGGCTGAGGAATTCTGGGAGTTGAAGTGCACAAGTCATAAAAGGGCCAAGATTAAAGACCCCTGATCTAATGCATGCTTTATGAAAAGAAAATTGACTTTTCAAGTTAGGCAGCAATGTTCTTCTGTGGTGCTTATTAATGAGGCATTCAAACCTTTGCTCTATACATTTGTCAAATCCCATCAATTCTGATCACTAAAAAACAATGGAAGCTTGCGATCTTGCAACTAAATGAGCAATGTTGAAGATCAGATAATGCTTTGAGTCTTTTGATTTGATCTAACACATATCTGTTATTCAATAGATTTATAACCCGCATTTCTTTCATAACAGAGTTGACAGTGTACCAAATACGGGTTTACTAAGCATGGTTGCCGTTAGGCCTATAACATACACACACTAAATGTAACACATTTACTTATTCATATTAGCAGTAGATTAAGGCGGTCTCCCTCATCCCTACAGTAATTGTAACCGTCGGCCAAAACGGACTATTTATACTGGCGACTTCCGGTTTACGGGGGAAGTTCCACAAATTTGGTGGCCGGAAGACTTTCTTTGCTGCAACGTTCTGAGCCTGGTCGGCTGGCGGTGTGCGGCTTCCTTTTCTTCGTGCTGTAAAGCCCGCCATGTCGTATCCGGTGGACGATTACGAAGAGGTACGAGCTTTGCGTATCTATTCACTGAGAACTTGAGTGGCGTGTGGGAATTGGGACCTTCATGGATGGTTTGCTTGGCGTTTTCGGATAAAAGCGATGGGCGGGTTGCCTCCATTTAGTGGAGGGGTTGTTAGGCTGATCTGTCACTAAAAGCAAAGCCGAGAAGCGGGGTCTGTATTCCAAAGCCGTGGTATTCACATTTGGGGGGGGGGCAACGATTAAGCAGGTTGCATCGTATTGTCTGTACCAGATTCAAGCCCTCCCTTCCCACGCTCTCTTTTCGCAGGGCTCTTACGATCCATATACTTATCCAGGGGAATATGATTTACACACAGGTGAGTCCGTATACTTTCATGTTGATAGACGTGCTACTTCGAGTTTATATTCCTGGAGGCAAAGAATACTATCGTAGATGTTTGTTGTGCTACATAAATGATGGTAGTACCGTTCAGAAGTGCTTTGAGTCTAGCCCACTTTTTATTCAATTTTTTTTTTACAAAAAATGGATAATTATGTGCTTTATGAAACTTTTGATATTTGTCTCTTATTGAAAGAAAGTACTTTGACCTATATTCAGTTTAGCAACTTTAATTTTTCTTTGTTTCTTTGCAAATTGCTTTAATTTATAGTCATAGGCTAAAATGTGAAAAAATTGAGTGGAAACTAAATGCTAAAAAAAATGGCTACACAAAATAACTCCTAGACATTTCCATTCTTGTACATTCCATTCTTGTAATCCATTGTAGGTGTTGCATTCAGATTGGCTTGCTTAAGAATAATGGGATTTAATTTAATACATTTTTAAAGTTGTCAGGATTGAATTGGGAAGATCCAGATTCAACTGTCCACTCAGTTATGGAATTCAATTGGGTGATTATAGAGCAGTCACTCTCTCCCAAAACAAATTACTTCCTAGGGTAGTTTAGGAATATAATGAAATAGCCATCCATATGTGTTCTGAAGCTGCCAATTGAAAAGCAAATTTTAATTAAGAAAAATTACCGAATTAATGACTTGGATATCAAGAATACTATAGCTTAAACTCACATAGTGATTCTGGGTAGCATCTGTAATAGAACAAAATACATAAATACTATTAAAAAGCACAACTTAAATTAGAATAAAGACAATATAAAAGCAAGGTTAAAAAAACAAGAAATAAGACAGCAAAGCATACAAAGAGTGCATCTAGTTAACTCACATTTAATAGAGTCCCCAAATTCATGGGATCCCCAAGCTCGTTGGCAAAAATCATTTTTGAGGGCCTTCCAGAATGCCTACTTTTGTTCCATTTGCTTTTTCCCCATGCCCTCTGTTGTCTTATTTAGTAATATTCATGTTTGTTGGCCTCCACATCAAACCCTAATGTTGCCAAAGTGTTGAATGGGTTATGATGGCCTATGAGCCTCTGTGAGGGAAATGGGCAGTTTCTAAATTAGACAGATTTCATCACGCAAAAGCTGCTATTATATATTTTCATCATGATATATTGTTTATAGTATGAAAGTAATGGTATTTGCATGGATGACATTATCACCAGTATGTTATCATTCCTCTTCTCATTCCCCCTTCCTGGCATCTGCCCATGTTCACATTTGAAGAACTTTATTAAAAATAAGGATTCTAAAACAGAGATGTATGCATTTAAATGTTACGTTCAAAATGTTGCTATTTTATGTCTTCCTGATATTTTGTTTTGATGTAGTTATTTCTTGTATTTCATAGGAGATCCAAAACAGGATTTAGCCTATGAACGGCAATATGAACAGCAAACCTATCAGGTGATTCCAGAAGTGATAAAAAATTTTATCCAGTACTTTCATAAGACTGTTTCAGATCTGATTGACCAGAAAGTGTATGAGCTTCAAGCCAGTCGCATATCTAGTGATGTCATTGATCAGAAGGTATATGAGATCCAAGACATCTATGAAAACAGGTATGATTTCATTTGCTTCAGAAAAGGGTGAGAATTTTCAGTATGGCTAGTTTTTATTATGGTTCAATAACATTAAAAGAGATAAATATTAATGACTAACTGATACATCACTATATATTTGTGAATATATAATGGGAAATAAAGATTATGTAGGTAGTTCTGCCCACATGATGGCATATGACATTGAAAAATCTTGTTCTTTAGTATCTTTCTTACCACTTTTCTCATAGAAATCTTTTACACACGTAGGATTGATAAAAAGTGAGAGGGGATCATATAAATTGTGATAGTTTGTATTATGGGTTAATTATACTCAGTATTGCCATGATTTTCTAAATACTATACTGATGTGTATTGCAGTTGGACTAAATTAACCGAAAGGTTCTTTAAAAACACTCCCTGGCCAGAAGCAGAGGCTATTGCACCACAGGTTGGAAATGGTAAGAATTTTTAATAGAAAATTTTATTTTGATGTTTGTCCTGCATTGGAAGAGTAATTTTTTTATTTGGGGGGGGGAGGGAGAAACCAGTACATATTGAAGAAGACAGGTTGAGAATTGCATTGAACTCTCTTAACTCCAAATGATTCTTTTAATAGGATTTGTCACATGCAATCTGATTTGATCCACATTTCTAACATTTATATGATAAATCTAAAAATGACTTTATTCTTTTTTATGGTAAAAAATCTAGCTTGGTTTTTTTTTTGCATGGAAATTGCAAGACTCATGACAAATTTAAGGGGTATAAAAATATTGTTCTTGATCTTTGTGTCCTACCCTACTGTATTAAGGTGTTGATATCATAATTTCAACAAATTAGAGGGCCTCTATTGCCAGAAGAAATCTCCTGTCTTAGCTATTTTCCTGTTTTTTGCATCACTCATTATCCTTGAATCAATTTTTAACAATGCCACTCAATGCTTGAAGATTTTATAGTACACTACTATAATTTTTAATATGCAACAAGACTAGTTTTTCTCCCTTTATTAAAATATGAATAGCCTGTTTTTATTACAGTTATGGATCTTAATGGTAGTATAGGATTAAAAACACTCTGTGGTGCTTTTGTGAAATGCACCAATTCTGAGATATCTCAGATGCTTATTAGCAAGGCAGATTATATTCAGATGAAAATTTGTAGCATATTCTAGCATATATTCATTAACTTTCAGATAGCATATGAAATTTTATTTGCCAGAGCATGGTACTGTTGATATGTTTTTGCAGCATATTTTGTGACTTTTATTTATTATAGGAAATTTTTGGATTTCTGATATATTGTATTATTTTCACTTGTGTCAGATACTTGAAACTGACTGAATGGAAAACTCAAAGGCAAATACTTCGAATACAATGATTTATAGCTTTTCTTTAATTGTAGATGCTGTGTTCCTGATTTTGTATAAGGAGTTGTATTACAGACACATCTATGCTAAAGTCAGTGTGAGTATCAGATTTAGATTGCCCTTAATGAAAAGTACATTTACTTGTTCAATTGCTCTGATTACTGAGATCATACATTCATTCAGTTCAGAAATTCAGGCATCTATTTACTCTTTTTTCATTTATTGTAGGGTGGTCCAACCCTGGAACAAAGATTTGAGTCTTATTACAATTACTGCAATCTCTTCAACTATATTCTTAGTGAGTCTCTAAAATTATATATGTATAATTCTTTGTATCGTGTAAAGGGGTAATAAGAATATATCTTCTATATTTAAAATAAGATGCAGGGAGTAGAATGTTAGCATCCTAATATATAACTCTGTTTCCAGGTGTGTTTTTGCTTGAAACCTGAAGCTATCTGATCCCTTTTGTTAGTATATCTTTATTTTATTTTTTTAAAAGAAAAATCCACTTCCTTCCTTATTCTGATTTTATATAGCTGGCTTTTTCTCCTCCCTTTTACATTTTATTCTGCTAAGGACATGATCTTCTATGATATAATGTTTATTTAGAATACCTAGAAAACAATACAAGTATGTAAAATTAAACCAAGAAGCAACTGTGCCAGCTCTAGTTAAATTGGTAAATATTCAGTGTTCATTAATTAATGGTGGGATATACTTTGGATTAAAAGTAACTGTCCATAGGAAAATGCAGCAATGTATATATTTTCCCCTAAAATTGGTAAATAAATTACATTCTGAAGTGGGCCTTGGCACAATGCAGAATTGTTTAAAAAAGTTATAAAGTTAGGCTTTTAAGTTGTCTTTGGAACTCCTCAGTCAGCAGTCCAAGATTTCTTATTCTTTTATCAGTAAGATGCGGGGAGAGTGAAAATCAGTAAGATGTGGGGAGAGTGTCTGGTATTATTCATTTCATATTCTATATGAATGTTCCTTTCTAGATGCAGATGGCCCAGCTCCTCTGGAACTACCCAATCAATGGCTCTGGGATATTATAGATGAATTTATATATCAGGTATAAAAATGGATTGTTCTCTTTGTCTATTCTGCATGCCTTTTTTTAACAATGATGAAAATCTGTGAAGATCATTAGAATCAGATGCTAAGCGTGCAAGCAATTTGCACAAAATTTCCCAAAGGAGTAAGACTTCAAGAAATATGCGGTTAGAATGTATATGTCTTTTTGTTTGATATCCAATCATATATATGCATGCATGAAGGGTTTATTTCTATATTGACATATAAGAATGCAATTTGTATAGAATTTTGTGTGCTGTAAACTCTGTTTAGAGCCAGGTCTGTTTAACATATACTACAGGCATTTTAGATAGGAATATGCCTATTGGTAGTGATTTGGAATATTTTTGTGATGAGTTGTAATTTTATTCAGTGTTCTCATACTATTTGTCTTTCCTCCTACAAATTGTTATAGTTGTAATTTGGTTTCTGGCTAGCACTGAGAAAACTTGTGAGAGGGTTTTTTATGTGTGAGGAGATTGGTAGAGATTTTCATTTGTAAAATAATGTATAGTTTGGTTTTGTCACAATACAGCATAACATTTGTACTCATTAATAAATTGCTCTTCCTTTCTTTCTTTTTGCTTTGGGTAATTCCAATTTACTCAGTCATTTCAATTTTATTCTGGTTATGTAAAAAAAAAAAGTATCCTAGGAGGAAAACAATACCATCCTCATTTTCTCTTGTATTCTCTATATCCTTGTAAAGTTTCAGTCCTACAGTCAGTATCGCTGCAAGACTGCCAAGAAATCTGAGGAAGAAATTGATTTCTTGAGGTTAAATCCTAAGATCTGGAATGTCCACAGTGTTCTTAATGTGTTATATTCCATCGTGGACAAATCCAACATCAACAGGCAACTGGAAGTTTATACCAGTGGAGGTAAGAGAGTAAATATTTTAAAATAAGTGGGCTTTACCACTATCAATTATCAATAATTATCCAGTAATTTATTAATATGGACGGTCTACCAATTTTCATTCTGATTGTGAGTCTCCAGCTATTTTTTTCTGATCAGGAATCAAGCTGGCAGATTGAAATTTGCATTTTTATTCATTGTTGTATTTAGAGTTCACATATATAGTTTTACATTTTTTCCCTTAGGTGACCCCGAGAGTGTTGCTGGAGAATACGGTCGTCATTCTTTATATAAGATGCTGGGCTATTTTAGCCTTGTGGGTCTGCTGCGCCTCCATTCATTGCTGGGTGATTATTATCAAGCCATTAAAGTTCTGGAAAATATTGAGCTTAACAAGAAGGTAATTAGAGCCACCTTTATGTGAAGATTGATTTTTTTTTTTTAAAGAAAGACCTTTTGGCTTCTGGAATATTTATTTATTTGCATGGATTTATATGGCCATCCATCTCACCAATATGGCTCTAGACAGCTATATTTATATAAATAAAGAATTTTTATTTGGTAGGATGCTAAATGTTCTGCAAAACAATTTTTATGTAAACAGTGGATGTTAAGTTGAGCCTGGTGAATGTCTCAACTGTGGTGAGATTTTCCGCTTGCTTTTATTTTTAGTACTGAAAAGAGATGTGGAGCCTTTTTAAAAGATTCTGATGCTTTTATACTCAGGCAATTAAATACTAAGTCATCATTACTGTTCAGGTTTTGCATTTCATATATTTTTTTTCAAGCTATAACCCATTTTATAATTTAGAAAATTAAAGCATATTCCAAAATTACTTCTTTTTTTCTCCGGTAGCTGTTAGCTGTTCTTCTCCCTTCATACACTAACTACTTTTTTTTCCAAATCTGCTATTCCCTTGATTCCAAATAATTCAAGTAGGTTGTATACTATAAACAGGGTAATATGAAGAAAACTAGTAATCTGTATCTATATAGATATAGTCCCATCTATATCTGGGCTATATTTGAACTGAAAATAAACAGCTCCTGTGATTTCATACAGAATTGCCACAGTTTCTCTTGACAGCTACTTGCACCTTTTTAGACCACTCCTGTCAAGAATCACATCACATATCTGGAAAGTACAATGTTGATCTTTACAGTGGTGAAACTTGTTACATTGTACCTTTTAATCACAGAAAAATGTGTATCTTTCCTTTTTTGCCAGCTAGCTGAAGATAACTATTTTAAAATATCTATGATCAAGTTTGGGTTAAAAATGCTGAATAAATTTGCTTTTAAAATCATAGACTGGTTTAAATAGAATAAAATAACAATGTTGCTCAAGTTTAAGGTATTCTGTATCTCTTCATTATGTTTGCTGCAAGAAACTTAACAGCCTCTCTCTCTGAAAGTTGTAGGATTAAAATGCTACATTTAGATTGACAGCGCAGGTTCTCTGCTGCAGTGCTTCTAAGACACTATGGGACAGTGCATATAGTCCTCCACTTACAATAGTTCATTTAGTAACCATTCAAAGTTACAACAGTACTGAAAAAAGTGACTTATGACTGCTTTTCAAATTTACATCCCCATAGCCATGTGAACAAAATTTGGACGCTTGGCAACTGTCTCATATTTATGATGGTTGCAGTATCCTGAGGTTATGTGATCACCTTTTGAGACCTTCTGACAAGCAAAGTCAATCGGAAGCCAGATTCACTTAACAACTGTGTTACTAACTTAACAATTGCAGTGATTCACTTAACAACTGACAAGAAAGGTCGTAAAATTGGGCAAAATATTTTTAGGCTTAATTGTGGCCATAAGTTGAGGACTACCTGTATTTCTGAATCTCAGCAAGTTTAAGATGTGTGGACTTCAACTTCCAGAATTTCCCCAGCCAACATACTACCTAAGGAAATTCTGGGTGTTGAAGTCCAAACTTGCTGAGATTATTTTGCATCTACCCATATAATATTCATTTATAGACTGAATGCATTTGGAGCAAAGTTCTTAAATCGTAGCCTTTGGAATGATGCTGTTCTCTCTCCGTAGAGACTGTTAACATTTCTTTTCTGACTCCTCACTTGCTGTATAATGTCTCCCTTTTCTCAGAGTATGTATTCACGAGTGCCGGAATGCCAGGTCACCACCTATTACTATGTTGGTTTTGCATACTTCATGATGCGACGTTACCAAGATGCAATCCGTGTCTTTGCTAATATTCTCCTATATATTCAGAGGACCAAGAGCATGTTCCAGAGAACAACCTACAAATATGAAATGGTAAAATGGAGTAAGGTTTCTGCCCTTCTTTCTAAGAGGTGTCCTTGGAAATTCTTTCCTATTTGCTAACAGTGCCGTTTCTTCCCAGGCATAGTAATTTTCTTACAGCATAATTCTATCACTATTTATTTCACTGATATCAAGAAGCATGTTGTAGACTATATTACTCAGCATTCAGCTTTCAGTTCAAATCAATTTGTTTAAAAATTTGCAAATACCTTCTGGTTTAGCTGAGCCTTATTTACCTTCCTGTCATCAATAGCTCCAGAGGCATCCAGTAGGTAACTGATTAAATCTTTCAGGAGACTGTTTATCCTTTGTTCCTTTTCATTTGCCTTAGGTATGTCAAACTTTACTCTTCACTTTCATACACCTTTGATAATTTGATTTAACTTGTCTATTTCCTTAATCTGCTGTTGTACTGCTGATGCCCTCTCCCCTTCCCACCCTTCCATGTATTGAAACTGTTTTCAAATTTTGTTTCTATGGGACAGGCTTCTTATTGTGAACTGTCCAAAATTTATATTCTTTGTTAATGTATCCTGTCTGGTGATCTTTCCACTCTGCTGCATTGGCATCATATGCCTATGAAGGTATCTCAATTCCTTCTGTTCTTGCTGTTACTTTCTTGAATCTGGTAGTCACTCCTATCATGAATTCTCAGAGATAGTTTTCCTTATTGGGTTGGTATTCAAAATTAATTTTCAAAGAGCTGAGAACTCTTTAGGATTTTATTTTTGAAGTGTTCCTGAAAAGGAAGTGGCAAGAATAGGCCAGAATAGCCTAAAAATAGGCTAAAAATAGTTTAAAGCCACCAAAAACATAAGTATTGATTTCAAAGCACTTTTTTAAAAATATGTTCTTTTATATAAATGAAAAAGCAGCTGGTCCAGTTACCCAAAGGCATTGGTCCATTAATCAAAGAAATATAGAACTAGAATGCTGCCACTGTCTGCTTAGTGGATCAAGACAGCTTTTACTTTCCAATTATGTGTCTCTCTACTTTAGCTTCTCAAGTTTTTGCTTTTGAAAGCTACCTGGCAGAAAGCTTCATGGCAGAAGTGAGACTTAATAATGTGGCTTACTTTTACTTTGCCAGTAGCCGCCACACATATATCTTCTTAAATGTAAAGAGTAATTGATCTTGAATGTTTCTCACAGGAATTATTTATTTTTCAGATCAACAAGCAAAATGAGCAGATGCATGCTCTTCTGGCCATTGCTCTTGCCATGTATCCAATGCGCATCGATGAAAGCATTCACCTGCAGCTCAGAGAGAAATACGGGGATAAGATGCTGCGGATGCAGAAGGGAGACCCCCAAGTATACGAGGAGCTGTTCAGCTATGCTTGTCCCAAATTTGTCTCACCCGTGGTACCCAACTACGACAATGTGCATCCCAATTATCATAAGGAGCCATACCTGCAGCAGTTGAAAGTCTTTGCTGATGAAGTCCAGCAGCAAGCTCAACTGTCCACCATCCGCAGTTTCCTAAAACTGTACACTACTATGCCTGTGACTAAGCTGGCTGGCTTCTTGGACCTCACAGAGCAGGAATTCTGCATCCAATTGCTGGTCTTCAAACACAAAATGAAAAACCTAGTCTGGACAAGTGGCATCTCTGCCTTGGATGGAGAGTTTCAATCGGCTTCTGAGGTGGACTTCTACATCGACAAGGTCTGTCATTTGACTTTTCTCCAACCCTTCTGACAGTAGTGCATAATATCTGAACTTGATACTGTTAAGATGTACTGAATTCTAGTCAACAGGGCGGATGGAATGCATTGTCATCAAAGTCATCTACATCTTCTCTGGAGTTCGAGTTCCTTTATACATCCGAGATAAATCTGTGTTGGAAACTGATGTAAAAACTAGAAAGCCCCACCATTCCTTTGCCTTGATCATTTCTCAGGGGCCATATAATAGTAGAGGTAGAGCCTCAGCTTTTCTCTGAAGGCCTTCCTTTGTGAAACCAGATCACTAGGCCACCTCTCTGAGGGGCATGAGCTTCAGATAGAAACTCCCAAACAGACTAAAACCAGCCTAAGATAATAGCAGGTAACATGACAAGTCTGTTTTC